TGATGTAGGGCTCATGGGTCGTATTTTTCCTAGCAAAAATGTTTTTTCTAAGAATTCTGCGGTCTTATTTACAGCCTAAAGTTGGGTGATTTGTCAATCATCTGTTTTCTGAAAGGTCCCGGGTGCAAAGGCGTTACTGTATTTATTTGTTTCCTGCCTAGTCTGGATCCTTTCTGAGGTCTGTTTAACCAAAGCCCATGTGGGTTAGGGCTCATGGGTCGTATTTTTCCTAGCAAAAATGTTTTTTCTAAGAATTCTGCGGTCTTATTTACAGCCTAAAGTTGGGTGATTTGTCAATCATCTGTTTTCTGAAAGGTCCCGGGTGCAAAGGCGTTACTGTATTTATTTGTTTCCTGCCTAGTCTGGATCCTTTCTGAGGTCTGTTTAACCAAAGCCCATGTGGGTGTACTCTCTTGTTGATAAGAATATGTGTGTGATACTGAATCCAAGACAGTCACAAGCAGAAATGTGTATAGAAGCTTCACCTTACTGAGAATGAAAGACTAATTTAAACTGGAAAGAAGCCAGTTCATGTTCCAGTAAAACAAATGTGCAGATTTCTGCATTTTATGAGCTGTAAAGAGCAGGGTAAGCTTATTGTTTGTGAGGAAACAATATGTTTTTTGCCTCTAGTCTCTTTGGGAAATGAGATTCACATCTAATTTTATTGAAGGAAAGTCTTGATGCATGTTATAGTCGTCCAGTGCATAAAAGCCACAGGCAATTAGTAGCATAATGGACAATTTCAGCACTAAAAAAAATTTGACATCATTGACAAGTGTAAGAGAGGCACTGGAGAAGTAAAAGATTGAAAAACTAAAGTGGTGAAGACTGTTGGCTAGTTGCCAGCCAGAGAATTTGGAGTAGTTATAGTATGACTTAGTAATGGCTTAAAGAGCAATACAGTAAAGGCTTTAGGGACTCCAAATCACTACAGAGTATGAAAATTGATGCCTCTGGTACCAGAGTGATAGACTAAACTACTCACATTGGCACAGTATTAAAGCTTGGGATTGTTTATTGCTGGTTTTTGCAAGATAACCAAATTTCCTCTGGGATTAGCAATCGAGCAAGCTAATTCCTCAAGAAGAGATTTAATCACACAGTATAATTTAGAATAGGAAAAGAAATAGCCCTTTTTACCTTATTTGAGCATTAGAAGAGATCTGTTTCATGTTTTTTTCCAAAAGTGTTTAATTGTATTGTATTGGCAGCACATGAAACAATAGAGTTATTGCTCTACTGTTTTCAAACTTCCCAACTTTGCGTGCAACAGTTTTAAAAACACGGGACTCAATCACCATAGCTAATTTGATGTCGTTAACTCTGAAATATCATGCTTATTCCTAAAGGCAGTATTTAAAATGTAAATCTAACGTGAATTACAGCTGAAAATCCCACTGTATAAGTGATGTCTCCATTCCAAGAGCACAGCTTTCCAGTTATTCAGCTAAAACTTGTCTTTATTTCAGGGAGGAATGTGCCTCAGTAGGGACCAAGGAACTGCAGTTGGGTGCTGAGACTGAGTCCAGAAGGTGCTTCATGTCTCCTAGGACAAATCTTAGATTTCCAGCTAGTAACAAACCCTTTTCTACCCATTTGTTTTGTTTTGTTTTGTTTAGATGCAAATACTGTGACAGATCCTTTAGCATATCCTCTAACCTGCAGAGACATGTGCGTAACATCCACAATAAAGAGAAGCCATTCAAGTGTCACTTGTGTGACAGGTGTTTTGGTCAACAAACCAATCTTGACAGACATCTAAAAAAGCACGAGAATGGGAACATGTCTGGTATGTATGCCTTTGCCCTCCTCAGCCTACCCCACGTACCATGTACAGGGACTGCACGTTCACTGTCAGTGCTACTGAGTGTCAGTAGGCACACGCTGCTCTGCGCCACCCACTCCAACAAAGAGGGGTTTGGAAAATATGTAAGTGCCTAAGCTCTGCTGACATTCAAAGTGCTTTGAAAATCCCAGCATAAACTCTCCCCTTGTATAACTTAAGACCACTGGATGATGTCTTTTCTTTTGGTTTTAATTAAGCCAACCATAGCATTTTGAGAACATGGTTTAATCCCATCTCCGCAATCACTTGGCTCTCAATAGGAGTCCTAGATTTAGAGTCTCAGGGGACACTCTAAAATATTTTCTTGGCACCTTCTGAAATATTCCCACTGTCAGGAGCTCAAAAGCACTGGCTATTATGGAGGTAATGGTGCCTCTCAAGCCCCAGAGCCAATCGGTCACCACACAGCAGTAGCAAAAGTAGCAGCAGGTAGGGGATGTAATTGGTCTGGTTTGGGTATCTGTAGGGTTTAATGAAAACCCTCTCTGCAGTCCTTTCAGTCTGGATTTTGCCTCACTGGAAATAATCAGGTACATGCAGTGAATGCAGAGCTGTCCCTTCCCTGATGCTCAGAGAAAGGTCTCTTGGTGCTAATGAACGTGGGTGATTATGTCAATGGCTGCTCTGTATTTTAAGCAAATCTGCATGATTAGTAGCTAAAAGTGAAGTTCTGATTGCTTGGTTCAGCCATTGGTCTAACACAGTTACTGACTGAGAGGCTTGGAGTCACAGGGAAACAGGAGGGAGATGTTGAAATAGATACTTGACAAAAGTGCTCATAAACCATGGAAATGGCACCCAGCATGCAACCAGTCATTCTGGCTGGAAACCACGTTCATCCATTGATATTATACTTCCCTTCTAATTGCTGGTTTTATGTCCAAAATCTGATAGATCACTATGACCAACTTTTTCTGGCTCTCACCCATTTTAGCCATTGTTTCATTTTGATTTAGATGGTTAAATATAGAAAATACAAAGAACCAGCAACAGAAGTCCTCTGTTTTACTTTAAGGTACTGCAACATCTTCACCTCACTCAGAACTGGAAAGCACAGGGGCAATCCTAGATGACAAGGAAGACTCTTACTTCACAGAAATTAGGAATTTTATTGGAAACAGCAACCACAACAATCAGTCCCCCCGAAACTCAGAGGAGAGGTGAGTTGTGTCTGATCTGCATTCAAAAGGTGCCACTCCTTTTCCAGGTTTGCATCCTTATAAAACCTGATTCTTCACTTTTGATGATGCCTGGAGCCAGAGGTATTTTAGCAGTTTGGATGTTTCAGTGATCACCTTGGTCTTAGGAAAAGAAACATGTTGATTCCCTCCCCATTGTGCAAGAACATATTCCAGGTGGCAGATGCTGGACAGAAGGTTCCATCTGTGAGCACATTTCTCCCTGTATCAGGAGGTCTCAGTTTCAGGTTCCCATCATTATTTAAGCCTGTTGAAAAATTCCTTCACTTTACATTCATGGCAGAACAGGTGAATTCTACATCCTGTGGTTAAATGTATGGAGCCTTAGGATTTAACTTCAATTTACATGTGTAATTAATAAAGTAGACTAAGCTAAATTCTTGGATCAAATGAAAGATTGTAACTGAAAGTCCTTTCCCGTAAGTAACTCAATCCCAGGAAAGATGCTGGCTAGCCAGAAGCCCGTGAGGCTGTGGGTAGGGGTTGGTAGTCCACAGTGCTCCAGCATGTGAGAGGCATTTTTCTACTAAGATTTATTAAGTGTATGGGTGTTTGAATTCTTCTGGACTAACTGAAGAGAGACCACTTCTAAATATTTTCAGCTAATGAAAATACAGCTAAGCAGAAAGGGCTGTGGGATGGATACACACATGAGCCCCACATATTTCTTTGGGATTGGTGTTGCATTATGCATTATTTGCCCTTTTGAATTGGCATTACATTATCAACATCAAAAAATTCTTACTGTTGGTGACAAACTTCACTGTCTTCTCAATTTCCAGATGCCTTTGTGAAGGAATAAAAATGGTGGACATAACACAATTTCCATGAAAGTATTGGATTAAGTGATTACATGCATATTCAAATTTCATTCCATCTTGATTGGCAATGAGGGCTTGGGATTTTTTCCTCGCACATCTGGTCTCAACATGTCCTCCGACAGGAAGTCAGCAAAGTGGAAAGGTTGCTGGGTTGTGCAGTGTTTCCTTTCTAAATTTGGCACTTCAGACTACTCTTGACGGATATTTTATCCCTGGCAAATTGCTGCATTTGAAAGCATAATTAGAGAATCTGTTTTCTTAATCACATGGCTTTTGTTACTTTGGTTGTAGTCCATCTCCCTTTCATTTCTAGCAGCCTCAATTGAGCATAACAAGCAAGTTGGCAGCCCAGACTGTGCGCAACAATTTCTTATTTCTGCCTATTTAAATAAAAGATGATAAAGAGATACTGCTCTGATGATCTTAGAGGGGGGTGGCTGCTTCAGCTCTCCTTGCTCTGCACAACCTCAGATTTTTTGATACTGTGATAAAGACAGACCATTCCCTAGAGCGTTTTTTTTTAAATGCAGTACTAAATTCATGACAATCAACTAGAATTTGCTTGGAAAATAGAAGAAACTCTTATTATGTTTAGGAAAACAATGCTATGGTTGTATAAGAAACCAGCTTTGCTTGTGTATGCTCCTCAGAAAGTCCATCTGTCACATCAGCAAGTCAAATGTTAAACAGCAACTGCACTGCTAGGGCTCATCTTATCTTGCTCCAACTTTGGGTATGTTCCATATTGCCCCACAGAGTTTGAAGCACACAGAGTCTGAAGCAAACTGCGTGCAGACAATAAAGTTTCCATTTTTATAACTGTATTCCTGGAAGAGTTAAGGACCTTTTGCACAATGAGAACAATAGATGAATCAAGGTCTCTGTACTGCATAACGCAGTGGAGCAGATACACTGGTAGTGTGAATTTGGGGGGCTCTACCATGTGCAGCCCCATTACACCACTAGTACCTCTGGCCAGGCGTTCGTTAACCTGGCGGTGCCAAATTTCTTTAGCTCTCATTTAAAATTGTGATTGCAATGCAGCTCCGGATGCTCTGAATCCTACAGGGTTGAGACCATTAGCAAACAAGCCCCTACTCCAGCATGGGGATTATGTCCTTGATAAAAATCCTGTAGGAAGCAGTTAAGAAAAGTCATTGTCTGAAAGCAAAGGACAACGTAATAACAGCGCGCAGACCAAATGGTTTTCCATGTGTGTATTGCTGTAATTACTCATTTAATAAGAATAAATGTATTTAAAATGCTATATGACCTTTCATTTCAGTATTTCTTACCCTTGAATTCAGTCAATAATCTAGTTCAGTATGGAGGCAATATTGCAGACCACTGTTCAGATCTTCAGCTGAAGTCCCTTAGGTTCCCATGTATGAAATTCATACTTTCAGTGAAGCAGTATGGCTTCCAAATGGGTGGTAGTGTGCAAAATTAATTATGCATGTAATTTTGACTTTAAAACTCTGATTGTGGTATCAGATGTCATTTTTTAAAAATGCTGGATCTGATTTTCAGAGTTTCTTGGCCCCTACAGCTTCTGTTAAAAGGCAGCGAGTTGTTTTGCCCAGACTACATGTATGATTGGAAACATGAGATGAAATAATGCGTGAGAAAATTTGGAATGGATATCTGAACATACCTCTGCTTGAACAGTAGTTTTAGCAGGATAGCAGGAAAATCCCGTGCAGATAGTGCTGTAATGTCCCAGTGAATTTTGAGTGGAATTTTTTCCAATGCTGCCTGAATGTTTGAAGCTAAAGAAGATATAAAATACAGGAATCACTTTATTCTACTGGGACAGATACTTTTAAGATCTGCCTCCAAGAGTCTTCTGGTGAGGAGCTTTCATATCTGATTTGTGATCATAGCTCGGGTTTGTTTTGGTACTTTCAGAATGAATGGCAGCCACTTTAAGGACGAGAAAGCCATGGTAACCAGCCAGAACTCAGATTTGCTGGATGATGAAGAGGCAGAAGATGAAGTAATGATGGATGAGGAAGATGAAGAGAGTGAAATTGCAGGGAAAGCAGTCAAAGAGCCTGTCACGAGTGACATGCACGAGGGGACTCCGGAGGAGGATTATGAGGAAACGAGTACTCTGGATATGAACTGCAAAGCTTCCCCTGGCAGGTTGGTTCCTTCCGAGTATTGGTGTGCCCGATATGTGGAATAAAAACAATAAACCATACAAGAGTGCCAGCACCAAACTGTGTGCTGTGGGAACCTGTCTGAAGTAGCTGGCTTCCCAGTTACGATAGCAACGTGCCTCTGTGTTTGGGTCAATATCAGCCCTGTTTTCAGCCTCTTCATGCAATCTGTAGCCCTTGTTAGGAAAATTAACTGTGCTTGGGGAGCTATTGTCAGGTTCTGGGTGAGACAGGAAACAGGGTGAGACAGGTTCATGGGAGAGACGTTTTCTGCTTCATGAACCGTCCCGGATCTCCTGTAATGGTCTTGTGAAAGGCTGTGGAGACACCAGGAGAGGGTCGAACTCTCCCTCCCCCACTCCCACTGCCCACCCTTTGTTTAGGAAAGAAAAGGGAATTCCTTTTATTTCAGGATCACTGTTCCTCAGGGCAAGGTGGTTTATGAATGTAAAAAAGGGGAAAGTTGCTCAGATGTGTAAATCTGAGAGGATCATTTAATTGACAATAAAACCTCTGTGGTGGTTTTGTAGGTATAAAGAAGAGGAGTATAATAAGACTGGACTTTCGGCTTTGGACCACATAAGGCACTTCACAGATAGCCTTAAAATGAGGAAAATGGAAGAAAATCAATACAGTGAAGCTGAATTGGCAGCTTTCAATGCTTCCCAGCTGCCAGAGGACCTCAAGCAACCGTTGTACAGGAAATCCAAATCCCAGGTAAAAGCTTAACTCAGTTAAAATGTTATTGTCACCAAATACCCATAGGATTAAGCTGTTAGTGTGTGGCAGACAGGGTTGTTCCAGCCTCGTCAAATAGGGCTGTACTTTATGTCCACAAACCTCAGCCTGCCCTGACCTCCCCCTGCACTCCCAGTGCACCCTGGAGACACGGCAGGCTGCTCTGGTAGCTGAGAATGGAGGGTTTTCGTACTTCTTTCTCACTTTTTTGCTATTGTTCCTGTCTGCTACATGCAGAAATTACATGCTAAGACCTAGTCCCACTCTGCTCTCTGACAGCTGGGACAGTCACGCTGGTGCTGTGGAGTTTAGCTGCAGCCAACAGGGATGTGCTTTGATCTTCTGGCTGGTTTAGCTTTTTGGTATTTTTTCTTATAGCCTGTTGGATGTTACCACCTCTAGGTCCTCAGCATGTTTTACAAATAGCAATAACTAAACTGACCTCCTAGTGCTGTTTCTTGAATTTTTTTAAAAGATTAATTAAAATGGGTCTTTTCAGCCCCTTTAAAAGATTCCTGTTTTAAAAACTGCGGAATATACATGTAGAAAAGGTCAGCAAAGAAAACTGTCATATTTGGTGAAATACAGGACCAGCCAAGGGATAATGTGATTCCTCAGGCTCTTGAAAAGAGCCTCCTGTGCCAAGAATCTGAAGGCAAAGGAGACTTTGGGACCTTGTCTACTATCAAAGGTTTCTCAGAGCTCTGTGAAGCCAGATGAAAGCAGAAATTATTATTACTATTAGCGAGTCCAAAGTGTCAGTGGAAGGGTTGGCAGTGGTTTTACCTAATGTATTTTGACTTTTTTAAAAATAAATTGAGAACAGTGGTTGTCACCTGAATGATGCCCTGACTGCACAGGGGTGGCATAGATCCAAGCTCAGAGCCACACTGCAGGATCGTGACCTTTTTGTCCTTCTTCTCTCCTCGTCCAGGCATACGCAATGATGCTCTCACTCTCTGACAAGGACTCCCTTCATTCTGCATCCCACAATTCTCCCAATATGTGGCACAGTATGGCGAGAGCCGCCGCAGAATCCAGCGCCATTCAATCCATCAGTCACGTATGACAGTGTGAAGTCTTACCGAGAATGGGACCAAGTCCAAACCAGTAGCATGGCTCTTTCATATATGACTATTTAAAAGACTGCTGAGCAGAATGCCTTATAAATCTGCAGGGTCACTCATTTAAAGTCCGGTGACCTTAAACTGAATAATTTTAAAAAGAAAGAAACTATTTATTCTCAATATTTTGTTTTGCACAGCAAAGGCAGCTGCTGACTTCTGGAGGATCAATGCGACTTAAAAAAAAATAAATAATTAAAGTTTCAGTGGATTATGTAAACGGGGCCGGGAAAAAGTGTCTTCCAGTTCACCCGGCTTTGAGGGGCAGGGGCAGAAGGGTTAAGACTGCATTGATACACACATGGGCACTCCTTTAAAGTAGGAACTGAATTGATTTTCTTTTTGTATAAGATAGTTTGACACAGGATTGGGAACAGTTGCTTTTATGTACAAATCTCTTCATTAAAGCTTTATGCATTTTAGCCCTTCAAAGAAAGAAAATAGTTCTATCAAATGCACACTATCCATCGCAAATGTAGAAAGAAGTAACAGGGAATATTTTGTTCTCTCCGTAATTCTTTTGCCTTCTCAACTGCATTGTTAAAAAAAAGGAAAAACAAGGAAAAAAAAAAAGACAGAAAAAGAAAGAACTCTGAGAAACAATACATAAGAGGCTTGTGTATATTGTAAACTATGAATGTTCACTACTTCAAGAAGCTAAATCATCCAGATAATTCCGTGAAAGCACCGCGTTCATTGACAGCACCACTAGTTCAAATCATTGTAAGGAGATTTTAATTTTCGACAATCATGTCACTATTTTGTTGTATTGTTTCCTTTCCCCCCAACCCTCTTAATTTCTTCTTTGTGTTGTGTGTACCATGTATTTATTTGTTGGCAAACGATTGTTTGTTGATTACAATAGCACTGTTCCTGTAACAAACAGCACTGCTCCAGTCCCCCACTGCGTTACGATGTAAGGCACCCGTGTACTTCCAAAAGAGTGAGGAGAACTGATCTGTGTATATGGGAGTGCAAAACAGTGTTTGAAATTTTCTTACATTCCTCTTTTTTTTTTTTTTTGCCTTTTAATGAACTAAATAACTAATAGATGCGACTTAGGTTTTTTTTTTGTAATACAGTAAATTGATTCGATTGTATAAACAGTTATAATTTCTTCATGAAAGCATGATTCTTCTGATTAAAAAAACTGTACCCAATATTTTATGCTGGTTGTCTGCGAGCTTGTGTGATGTTATGTTCATGTTAATCCTATTTGTAAGATGAAGTGTTCCAAATTTATGTTTTTAAAAAAAATAAATAAATAACGGAAGGTATTCAGTTATTTTTTGGGGGTTTTTTTGGCCTTTAGTGAGGGACCAGATTTATTTTTCCTTTTGTTTATAATCTCATTTTGAAATAATCGGCAAGTTGAGGTACTTTAATTAAATGCTTTGTACAATGTAACTGTTACGCATTTCAGTACATTACTATGGGAGGATCAACTTAAAAAAAATAATAAAGGACTACAAAACTGAAGGGATCTTCTTCCTTATTGTCTTGTTTTTGTCTAGGTCAGGGCTGTAATGGCACATTTTTTTCTGCAGAGCAAAGATGGGTCTGTGGGGTCACAAGGATAAGAATAACCAGAGGATGGGGCACTGTGAGGCATCTTGGACTTGGTCGTGCGGAGGTCATGCCAGAGCCTTAGTTCAGTCCTTCAAGTTTCAAAACACTACCTTGGAAAAGAGGAATATTTAAGTGGTTTTACATCTTCAAAGGTCACCTTTGAAAGCTGTTGTGGAGCCTCAGGCTTGGGTTGGTGGTGTGCCAGCTCGCTGCTCTTGGGGACAAGGTGGGGAAGCAGTGGCTTGACTGGCATTAGCAAAGTGTTGACTCACCAGAATGATAAAAACCCATAGTTAAGAAGCTAAATGAACCTCCAACTGCATTAAATGAGCCTTTAAATTCTAAAAGGAAAAAAAAAGAGTATTTTAGTTTGTGTTCCCTTTGAAATCAGGTCCAATCTCTTGCTTCTGGGCAACCTGTGGAGTAGTGGGATTTCAGGAAAAGCCAGTGTTGGCCCAGGGACTGCCCATTTTACTGCTGTTCCCATCAGCAGAGGTAGAAGGACTGAGATGCTCCTCTCTCAGCCTGTGTAAGTACACAAAGACCTCTCATAGCTCACCAGATTCTTACTTTACATTTCAGAATAACTTGTATGTGTCATTCTTGTCTTCAGCCCAGTTTTATAAGCACCTCATAGCAATGAGGGCCTTGGCAGGGCTGAGCCCGAAGCCAGCAAGGACAGGTGTGGGCTGCCTTTGGTTTGTTCTCTCAGCTCTAGAGCCTCCCACACAGGCTGATGGCAAGTTGAGACCTACAAGCTGATAGTTTTTGAGCAGGAAGTCTAAACCACACCTAGAAAAAACCAAACAAGACGTGTCATATTCTTGTACTCACTTCAGTGGCCTGAGGCAATGGCCAGGTACCTGCAGATAATTGCATAAATAGGCTATTATTTTTAGTGCAGGTAAAGTCGCCGTGAAACTTGGTTTTAGGTTTCTGCCAAATAAAGAGAACAAATAGATTAATCAAGTCATGTTTTATCTGCAAACAACTTTCCAGATCATTTTCCCCTTTAATTTGATGCAATGACAGTTCTTATCAGCTCTGCCCTCACCTGCCCTAGATGAAAGCGGATTTGGAAGGTGGAGAAAGTGTGGGACAGTCTCCCCTGGGTTTAATGTTCTGGGTTAGAGTAGCACACTCCCATCATATATTGGTCAGGAAAAGCACTCCTTGAGCTGAGCCACTGGGTTAGTTTAACCTGCCCCAAACCAGATCTGTTGACCATCAGAGAGCAGCTGCCATGCCCTCATCAAATCCCTGGGTTGATGTTCCCATTGAGAGCCTGGAGCTTTGTGTTTCCATGTCAAATTATCCCACCCAGCAGCACTGCCCTTGGGGTGTGATGAATAGAGGGAAAGAAACATATTCCCCTAATAGCACAAGGAGTCCCTTAACTTCATGTAAATCCTTTACCATGACCTCGATTTTCATTGGCTTTTCTCAGTGCCAGAGTTATTCACCCAGAGGAATAGCTGAAGAGCAAACCCAGATTTGATTAGTCATCTCATCCCCCAGCAAACAAACTGGATAATTTTTGTTTTTGTGTCATACCCCTACATTGGACCACACAGATGCACTTGTCCAGATGCTAACAGATTGCTGAGTGAGGCCCAATGTTTCTGACATTCTGCTACAGTGATTTTATTTAAAGGAAAAAAAAGTCAATACTTTTTAAAAAACCCTTCAGCTTATTTCAGCATCATCCTACTGTTCACCCCAGTGTAGTAGTTTTCCATAAGTCAACAAATCATTCCCATGTGATCCAGCAGCCTTACTAGATGGAGGAGCTGCACATCACCCCCTCAGTTCCTATCTACAGAACCTAACAAAACCCCAGCATGACAAGATGATTAATCAATATTTCACCCTGGCCCAGCTCCTCAATACCACTGGCAGGTCCCAGTTGCTGTTCCTGTGTCAGCTGCTGTTTTTCCATGTTAATAGCTACATTTGCAGAGTAATGGGAGGGGAAGTTATTATAAAAGCATTTGTGAGACTGCTTTTGCTCAGCCATTCAGCTTGGCCCGTTGTTCCATTTTTGTCTTGAACTTTAAAACTTTCTGTCAGGTCTCTGTTGCTCAAACATACAGAGAATCTCTGCGAACTCCTGGATGGTTCTGCTGCTTTCCAGCTATATTTAGTCTCAGTTGCAGTTTTGCTGTTCAGTCATAGTGTGGTGTGAAGTTAGTTAGTTTAAAAGATGCTTCCAGTAATGATTTAAACAAAACAGAGGTATAAAGCAGCAAACAGAAAACCCTTTCTCCATGTCAAAACCCATGTACCTTGCCAGGACTCCTGTTAAAAGAAAAACATATTCTGCATCCTGGCCAAAACCATCCTCTCTCCCATCTCTGTGGCTCTGTAGGATTGTGAGTACACCTAGTCTGGGGTTTGTAAGAGCCAAATTAATTCAACTTTTGTTTCTATACAGAAAATAGTGCCAGCTTTAGGAAAGGCTCAGCTTCACATTTCAGAGTCACTTCATGAAGTCTGGGGAGAGAGTGAAGGTGAATATCAAATAAAAGGTAAAAAATAAATACTGTATTCTTCTTCTGTTAATTCAACTCAGACTCATTTTCTGCTAGAGGAAAACAATTTTCAGCAAGGTTATCCCAGAATTTAGATTTTAATCAGACTAACATTTAAATAATCCCTGGAAAGAGGCCCCACTGCCACACAGTGATTCAGGAACTCATGGTACGTCTTGTAAGCCTTTATCCCAAAGCTGTTGCCTAAACTTTGCTTGCTCCCCTGGGTATGAACAAAAACCAGACTGAACACAGATCCCTTTGCATGCTGGAAGCAGAGCCTCCTTATTTTTGCTCCAAGAGTGTCCATATTTTAATGCCAATTGAAGCTATTTATATCTATAAACCTGTTTGAGGAAGTTTTTATTATGAAAGGTGCAATGGAAATATAAAAGTAGTCTGGTACAACGAGTTTTAGCAGTATCTGCTCTGACTGTCTGAGCGGGGGGTCTGCGAGGGGGCACCTCCAGCAGGCACCCGCCTTTCCCCTGCTTTATTGTAATACTAATTAATTCCAGAAAGGCTAAAGAAATTTGATGAAATGCTACACTTCTAAGAAAATGTTTTGCCCAAGAGTTTTAAAGCAGGCCTCCCAGCTTGGGAGGGTCTAGTGGGATAAGAGGGTTAGTGGCGATTTTGATGCTTAAATTATCAGTAATTAAGAAGTTGATTTTAGGGGATTGAAGAAAATTTTAAACAGCTGCTTCTTTCAGTCCTTTTACTCCTCATTTTCATTAGCATGTGCTAAGGCAATCTGGAAAATATATTTAGATCTATATTATGCTATGTCAAGACCTCAGCATCTGTACCTTGGGGCAGATACATGCGAGATAGCTGAGGGTAGATGTGCCAGCACACACATGTGGAAGCGTTCAATTTGTAATATGATTATAGCCCCAACACAAAGCCTTCTTGATACCTGTGGCAGATTTGTTTCATGGTAAGCGCCGAAAATTCTCAAAACCCATGTCATGTTTCGCATCACCAGCCAACTCAAACTCGAGAAGTAGCGCTTTAATTCCTGGGGAATCTCTTTCAACAGGCGCGTGTCAGGCCCAATTAAGGTTCAGGCAGACTTGTGCTAATTGGGTTGAGGTATGCAGTGGTGTAACATGGTCGTTTAGCAAAGCAGCTTCTTTGTCCAGGCCACTGCCTGCCCTCATGCTGGCTAGTCTGTCTTCCTGAGGGTGGCCAGTGGAGTAACTCCTGCTAGAAAGTCACCTGGAAAAAGTTAACAAAAGTGAGCGATTCTAGCAGCAGTGGATAAGACAGTTTGGGGTGTTCAGAGGCAGCTCACAGTGGGGGCTCCTGCATTAAAGCTACCATCACAGGAGACAAAGGTGGTGAGCTGCATCCTCCACCCATGGCATGTAAGTATCTTCCAAAAATACTTTCTTGCCTTGTCCACACATCTTTTTCCACTCTCCAAAGATTTTTTTTTTGCTTTCTTACATCTGAGGTGCTGATATAATGGAACAGAGTAAAAAAAATGTGGAAATTGTTGTAATTATTCAACCTTTCCTGAATTTCAGTTGGATTTGTGTGAAAAATCACAGCATTTGTCTTGGTTTCAGGTCATACATGATAGAAATGAAATTAAAGTCCTAATGGTCTTAATTCAAAACAGATTCCTGCAAACATTTTAAAGATTTAAATCTTCCTAATTACAGAACCAGGTGTTTTACTATACCCAACTCTTTCATACAATCATAGAACAGTTTGGGTTGGAAGGGATCTTAAAACTCATCTAGTTTCACCCCTCTCTGCCATGGGCAGGGACACTTTCCACAAGACCAGGTTACTCAAAGCCCCATCCAACCTGGCTTTGAACACATCCAGGGATGGGGCATCCACAGCTTCCCT